CGCCCCCAACTGCTCTCCCCTGCTGGCCTGATTGCCTACAACTGCCCTCCCCTACTGGCCATCTTGTGGTGGCCATCTTGTGCCCACATGGGGGCGGCCATCTTTGTGTGATGGCATGATGGTCAGTTTGCATGTTACCTCTTTATTATATGGGATTCCCTGAATGACTATTATATACTCTCTGTGTGTCAGGTACATGTGCTAGGGATACAGCAATGAACAAAATGAAGTCCCACTCTTGGGGATTTACATTCTATCTCCAAATTCATCAAGAGAATTGTGACCTCAGATTGTCAGCCGTGTTGTCTATTCTGCCTGCCTCCATCGAGGAGACCACCCTGACTTGTGAGAATGCCTACACCTGCCACTGTCAATGGAAGGCAATAGAAAGTGAAAGAAGCTAAACATTTACCCTCACAATGAAAGCAGAACTGGGGGAGGCCACCTGTCCTAGAAAGGGAGGAGGGGAGGAGACTGCCCATGCCTGGTGATGACCTGGAGATGCAGAGGAGGGGCAGTAGCCCAAGATCTAGTGTCCTCTCTGGCCTCTGGAACCCAAGAGAGGTCAGTAAGTGTCCTCACCCACACATGCTAGGACCCTGACTCTGCACAACCAGGTAGCTAAAGCCTCTAGGCAGTAGCCACTTAAATGTCCTGAAATTAGACCAATAAAATAAAAAACAAAACTCCTCTGTGGAAGTGGAGAAGAGTTGGGAAGAAGAGAGGGGCCATGAATTTGCTAGTCCCAGAAACCAAAATTCACCCTCAGGTTGTTCTTTCTCCTACTAACCCATGTGTTTGACAACCATACTAATGGCCCAAAACATTTCTGACCCAAGAACTCTTGATGGACTTGCACACAACACTATTTCTCCAGGTCTTACTGCTATTGTTACATTTTTCCCTGCAACCAACCTATGGGCAGTCTAAACCCACAGATGCCTTTTAAGTACCTGTTTAAAGTCTCTCAATTCTGTTACCCAGCCTATGAGGACAGCATTCACCCAAATACCAGTCAGGAATATAAAGTGATTCAAGTTGAGATAGAAAACAAAAGAGTGCCCATATTTTTACCCTATCCTTAGATTCCCAAAGCATCAGATAAAAGAAATTAAATTGGTCTTCAACACCATTCATGACCTTGACTCAATCTACCTTTTCAATCATGAGCTACAGTTTGTACATTTTGTACAGGACAGTTTCCTTAATGGCTCAAAACCCTAGCTTGGCCTATGTACTTCTCAGCTTTTGCTCCAAAACCAA